ATCTAGGTACGCTTATTCTGTGTTACTTGATAAATCACGGAATATAAACGATAACAAATATTATTTTGTTTTTGGATTAACATATAAGATATTTAACCTCCCATCAGTTATAAAAATGCTTTTATTGATGTATTTAAATTGTACTTACTTTTTATATTAAAAATAACTATGTAAGTACTTACTACTATATACTTTGATATTGTTACCGCCATTAATGTTTTTGTTGTAATTATGCTTAACTTCTCACATATCTAAATGTAAATTCTTTTGATAAATTAAGTAATCTTGAATTTGACTTACTGGTAGAACCAATTAAATGGTCCTTATCGGTAGTATTTTATGATAGTATTCAGACATTGGTATAACCTGTGATGGTTGAAAGGGTGATTGGAGATTTGTATTGACTACTGATTGGAGTTGTGATCATGAGGTCCCGGGTTCGTATCCCGGGTCGTACAAGAATCAGTTATTGATTTTTCTGTAACGTAATTCTCAGTAGCAGCCCGGAGTCAGGAAGTTGGTGGTATTCCACCCCTCACCTCGGAAAGCACGTAAAGCCTGTTCATCTGTGGCGTGGTCCTGCGCCTGATCTCTTACCAGTTGTAGCGGACAATCGTCTCATGGGACTACGAGAGTGAAGGAACAGAGAGTGCCCTTGTGTTTGAGAATACGCTTCGGCACTATAATCTTGTCGTGCGCGGATGACTAGTCCACGAGAGTCCACTGCGATAGAAACAATTTAACATATAAATTAAATAAAAAGCAGTATCCGAGAATAATCTTATATTTGTATTTAACCCTTATACCGAATAGCAGTATACTTTTAAAACAATCTGTAGTGATCTTATCTTTACTACCTCGAAGGTTCGGAATTCGCAATTGAAAATTACTCAGTAATTTAAACATCATTGTTCGATCTCGGAACGTAATCGGGCTTCATAAACCAGACGTTAATTACTTGCCGGTATGCAACCATCCCTTTGTACTGATTACTTATGTTCACCACGCATTTGAAATGTTATCGGACAGGCTTTATTAGTTTTAATACTCAGCAGACTTATTCGTTATTGAATCAATACTTATTTATAAATATAATTTCCAAGTATTTTTCATTTTTATAGATTGTATAATAAATGTACTATAAAACTTTATAATACATTTATTATACAATCTATAAAAATTAAAATATGATAAGGATATTGAACGACGAGTGAATGCAGGAAATAAAGTAAATGGGGCTCTACACTCTATTGTGAAAAGTCAGAATGTGTCAAAAAAGGCACGTATGGCAATTCACAGTGCTGTATTAGTCCCTACTTTAACGTATGGTAGTGAAAGTTGGGTGTGGCAGAAGAAGCACGACAGTAGAATAATTGCAGTAGAAATGCGGTCTCTAAGGAGTATGTTAGGGCTGAATCTGAGTGACAGGGTGAGAAACTGTGTGATAAAAGAAGAGTGTGGTTTGCAAGATGATGCGGTGACCAGGATTAAGAAAGGAATGCTTCGGTGGTTTGGTCATGTAGAAAGAATGAATGCGGAAAGACTGACAAAGCAAATATATGTTGCAGAAGTGAATGAAAGAGTCGGAAAGGGACGTCCTAGGCGGAAGTTTGTCGACCAAATTGGCGATATACTAAAAATGGGCCAAATTAAGAGTACCCTTAACCGACGAGCATGTATGCGTAGGTATATGGATGTGGAAGAGGCGAGAAAGGTATGTCAGGATCGTGCTAAATGGAAGTCTGTAGTCTCTGCCTACCCCTCTGGGTGACAGGCGTGAGTGTTTATGTATGTATTTTATGTATAAAACTTTAAACTTTTCTTTAAAAAATAACATGCTGTTGACATTGTTAATACCATTAACCACTTCAGCTAAACTAGAAATGCTTGTGTCAGAAGACGACCTAGAGTTCGCGGTCCGCACCCTTAGGTCTTGTCTGTCACTTAATTGGCTACATTTGGTTTGGAGACATACTTTGATTGGTTTCCCTGGGTCCTGTAGATATATCTACTTTTCATTACAAGTGACTATCACCATCTCCAGATTTGTGATAAAGCGATTAAAACTTAAAGCCAACTCGAGTTTTTTGTTTTCTTTTTTAATAAGTATATACAGCTACCCGCCATTCGAGTTCTATTTTCTTAGTTTGACGTACAAGAATCAATATCGATTTGTAACTTACTTTAAATGTTAATACTACCCCAACTGACTCTGATATAGTTTGGAATGAGTCTTGCATTACTTAAGTTTAATTTCTTCCTTTCCGACTTTAATATTTTGGTCGTTAATGCAGATGGAAGTGAAAAAAAACAAGTGTGCAGTTCACACGTGGTAGAAGTGAAACTTTCAGAAAACTTAACTTCCAGAGAATGAGATGAATGCAGAGTGTCAGGACTAGGATAATTGTAGGGTTTATGTAATTAAAATATTTCTTTATAGTAAACACTGTATACCGTATTCTATCTCATTCTCTCGCAGGCTGAATGTATATGTTTTTCTCTTTTTGTTTGTATACCGTCTATGCAGCAACGGTGCCATAGGGAATTCATGTTCGAAAACAACTCGAGGTTTCAATGTTTCCATAGTTGCACATACAGAGGTATTAAAAATAAACTAACAACGGGAAAAAAATAAACAACTGATTCCTAAAAGCAATGTTTTGGCCTTTTTATGTGCCATTTCTCATTTCTTCTTGCGTTCATTCATTTAGTATAATATGATACATATACATATGTAAAATATGTTTGTATACGGTCTATCCAGCATTAGTGTCATGAGGGAATTCAGAAATTTTAATGTTTCTATGGTTGCATATTCAGCGATATCAAAAAGAAACTAACAACGGGATAACGACGAACTATTTTTCGTGGAAACGAGGCATTTCGTCTTAGTGCCAACGAATCTCCATTTCGAATCGTTTTTTTAGCCTTGAGTGATAAACGATCACACAGTCCACCTGATGGTAAGTGGATGCTGTAGCTCATAGACATCCACATTTATCCTCAATTATGAATCAAAATGCAAATGCGTTGTCACCTCTGAGGACTAAGATGGAATGCTCCGATTCCAGTAAAAACAGTCTCCGGTTCTTTACACTCACCATACGAAACACAGCAGCGTTACGCTGCTATTTTACGCTGGTATTCTGTGAGAGCGTGGTCCTGCCCCGGTCGAGCCGACCCATTCGTGCCACATCTATAATATAACTGTAGCGTGGCTCTACTTTGTCGATTTAACTTCGTTGGTAACAGTATCCACTTACCATCAGGTGGACTGTGTGCTCGTTTATCACGCTTATTCCATAAAAAAAAACATAAACAACTAATTCTTACGCATGGTTAGCTGGTTGTAATATACGATTTCTTAGAATTTGCAACAATTTAAATTCTAAATTTAAATTCTTGTTGCAAGATATTAACTTCATCATCATTATCATTATCGTCGTCATTACAGCCCTTCACAAGTTCACTGTTGAATATAGACATCCCCCAAGGAATGGTACAAAGCACGGATATTAACTTCAAAGTTATCTAAATTAAAATACGGCAATTGAACCGTTAGGACATAATAATAATTATTTCTTTTTGTAAAATTAAGTTGTTAATTACCCACTTACACAGATTTATAACAAATAATGTTTCAAGAACATAATTATTTTCTTTTTATCCGCGTCTGTATTTAAAGCCGAAAATTATGGCGGGCCTATGTATACCCCATAATTATAATGAACAGAGTGTGGTGATTAAATGCTTACGCAGCCCCGCCTCTGTGCAAGCGAGACGAGAAATTTTCTCATGAGGTGACACGCTGAAATATTCGTAGTTGATTACCCGTCTCTTTCATTTTTTTTTATAAAATGACAGGTGAACGCTTTTGGCGCGGCTGCTATCGTAATTAGTGTGCGGTGTTGCCATTTTAAAACCCCAAATCATTTTTGTTCCTTTTATTTGATTTTATATAGAATTGTTGTCCGAGGAAAATTCTTTTTTTTTTAGAATATTTTAATTACTTATTTAGGCATGACTTTCTTCCATGTTTTATTATTTTGTATGACCCCTATCTGCAGTGAAAGCGAAGTGTTAATCAAAAAGAAAGCCCAGGTGAACTACTTTGCAGTGGATCGCGATGAAAACCCTGTAATTAGTAGTTAATTAGATATAATTTATACCATAGTGAACTATAATTCATTTGACCATCATATTTAAATTTTATATACTTATTTAATAGAAAGTTTACGCTGAAGGTGAATGTACAACAATTTATAATGTTTATGCTTACCTTAAATTACACATAAAATAAAAACAATTTTCAATTCAGATTTCATCTCTTTTACAATAGGACGTACCTGAGGGTTATGATGAAATGCCTCGTTAACTGTAAAATCGGCCTTCGTTTTTCGTCACTCATCATTGAATCAGCAGTAATATGCTGGTATTCCACGCTGGTAACTTATGCGATGGACACTTATTGAAGCTATCGAATCTCAAGAAAGGACTTAAAAATAGGGATGTTACGGATATGATATTTCGGATATGGATACGGATACGGATATGGGAATAATATTATATCGGTTTCGGTTTCGGTTACGGATATAAAATTATTTCGGATTATCCGTTAGTTTCGGATCGGATAAGATTTTTGAGGTATTTAAGTAAAATACAAATAAGTAGGTAATCATTTGGCTTTATATCTTGGTTATCATTTGGTATTACAATCAGTCATTTATTCAAGTAATTAACAATTTTATAAGAATAGTATACTAATTAATGTAGCTACCTACATATTTTTAAGTTATCTACTTAAAAATGCTATTACAAAATTATTATAATCAAAAACAATGCTATTAGTTTTTTTTTCTATTATATTCTTCAATATATTTCTAGGAACTATTACAACGCATAAATCAGTCTTCTTAAGTCTTTGCATATTGAAGAATAAAAACTAAAATCTGAACATAACATAACAAAATATTTACTTGTCTTTCACTTAATGATTTCTTTTAATAGTCGAAACTAAGCAAAGGTAAATTATACTTAACAAAAAGCAATTTCGCAGCCTTATCACCAGAAAGTCGATTTCTTAAGGGGTCATAAATTAACCCAGCTGCACTGAAAAGCTGCTCACTTGGTACACTTCCAGGAGGTGGAGAAAGGTACTGTCTTACTAAATCACTTAAGCAATGGTACTTGGTATGCATTTTCCACCATAAAAGTGGATCTTCATTGAGTGTCAATCGTTTCTCCCTGTTGTATTCATTTAGTAATGTCTTTTTAACAATAAATTGATTGTGCACATCATCACCACAATCTATGTTTTGCTCTTCCTCGTCACTTAAGCTTAATATTTCAGCTAGACAAGATTGAATGTGTGAATAGTTGCTTGAGCTTGTTGTCGGAATCTCATTCCGTGATCTCTTAGGTGAAGAAGGACCTTCATCACGAGAAGCTTTTGAACACCCAAGAATCCCCAGAATCTCAGACTGTACCTGTTCCTTCGTAATTTCAGTAAAAAACTTGAGTTTAAACCGTGGATCTAGATAAGTAGCTATTGTATATATTTTATTATTTTCAATATCCTGAAATCTGACATTGATGTCTTGGATCATTTTCGTAATCATTAATTTGAAGTTCTCAGAAGTCTCTTCTTTACTCTTCTCTGTTTCTAGTGTGTTTTTAAGAGTATATATTAATGGAATCACTGATGCTATTGTTGCAGTAGCACTACTTAACTCCTTTGTAATTTCTTCGAACGGCTTTAGTATTGCAACACACTTTTTCAAGTCGAGCCATTCATCAGCATTAAGAATTGGTATATCATGCGCGCCCGAATACAGTACTAAGGGAGTCTTTTAATGTCAATATTCTTTTCATCATATAATACGTCGCGTTCCATCTGTGAAAAAAGAAAAAACAATGTCAAATCAAATAAAAAAAAATTACATAATAGATAGGTGTATAAAATAGAATAAAAAAATCTCACCGTGTGGAACATTCCTGAATTATACTTAGTCCTGATTGGTTCAGTCTTTCTGTTTGAATTTGTTTCAATTCATTTTGCGCGATTAGGGAGTGATTGAAGTGAGTTGCAATTTTCTTGCACTTCGTAATTACTGACGAGAGAAATTCTTCGATTTCCATCGTTGATCGCACACATAATTGTAGTTGATGAATAGTACAGTTTGCATCAGTGAAATTGGCCATATTCATAGCTTTTATCATATTAGATCCTCTGTCGCGTAAAATACAATGAACTGATTCCGTGCTTAAGCCCCAATCTTTCAAAATATTGTTTAAATTATTTGCTATAATTTCACCTGTGTGCCGACCCTCTAATTGTTCACACTTGAGTATTATAGAAACTCTTTCATATTTATTGGTGATGCCATGAGCAGTAAGACTAAGTAACGATACATTTGAGCTGGGCTCTGACCACACATCTGTAGTAAATGACAACTTTTCAAATTGCTTAAGTAATCCCAGCACCTTTAATTTAATTTTATTGTATATATCAGTACACAGCAAATTAGTAAAATACTGCCGACCTCTTAGATGATAGCGTGGTAATGCTGCCTGCATTAATCTTTGGAAGCCGACACCTTCCACAAAGTTAAATGACAAGTTTTGTAATGCAATCATTTCAGCTACTAATTTATCAATTTCTTTTTGCTTGACATTACTTTCATCCCAGGCGCCTTTATTTTTTAAAGAATCTGTTATTGACAGCTGTTTTTTACACTCTTGTAATGGTGTCAGCTGTTTCGTGGTATGTGGTATTTGTTGGATATCTTTTTCTAGTAACAAAAGTTCTTCGTACTTATCACCGTGTTTTGATTTAAGATGAAGTTTAAGCGAAGTAGTGCCACCTCCTTTTCGTGAAAAGGTTTTATCACACTGTTTACATTTTGCGGAATCTGCATTAACTTGATTAAAAATCTCCAAATTAAACTAGACTTAGGTCGCATTTGGTCCAGATTAGGTAAACAATTTAATAACACAACACTTTTCTTTCACTTCGTCGAACTAAACTAATTACTCGTACCTAAATATAAAACTGACTGACGGGACTTATGTATGACTGCAACATAAATAATAAACAAACAATGCAAGAGTAAGAGACACGCGCCGCTAATGTAAAAAAGAAACCTGTTATAACAAGTCTCATTTAGACTCAGCCCCTACCCTTATCCGAAATTATCCGAAACTTTTATATCGGATTCGGTTACGGTTACGAATAGTTTTTTTATTTCGGATATCCGATAGTTTCGGTTACGGTTACGGAGCTCCATAACATCCCTGCTTAAAAACTGTATCCATCTCCAGCATATAAAAGTCCACTGCTAAACACAGGCCTCCCTCATAGATTGCTCCATGAGCGGATTTTGCTTGGTAAGCTTGGCAAACTGCAACCGTTCTTTTATTCTTAGAAGCTAGCAAGCGTGTTGGCAACTGCAGTTCTTTTATTCTTAGTAAGCTTGGCAAGCGTGTTGGCAACTGCAGTTCTTTATTCTTTTGAGTTGTTATCAGGAATATGCTGTTCTGCTGCCCATCTCCAGTTTTATTTTCCCTCTGTCGCCTCTTGATATGGGACAGTACCCCACAGAACACCTAATATAGCGGAATTGCGCTATATTAGGTGTTCTGTGGGGCAGTGGATATTCTTACACCGCCACTACGCGGTTATCAACATACTGGAGTTTTTTTTTAAATATGTGCGAGCTGCTATGCAGGTGTAGGAAAAAAGACCAGTATCACTGTGACCTAAAAGATCGATTGTGATCGCTGATATGGTTATAGTTCAGTGCTCAGCCCTATGTCTTCAATGAATAGAAGGAGGCTAACTGTGAGCAATTTCACTACTTCTGGGCAGAGTACATAGTTTGTCCTTATACTGGATATAATATTACGTATATTTAAATTACAAAAATTATAATAATGAACTTAACTAAAATAATAATTAAAATTATAATATTTATGTTTAAAACTAATTATATACAATATAAAGGAAGAAACTATAATAAAGAAAATCTAAAACTAAAAATTTTAATAGTCAAAAAGACCTGTTCCCCGTGGTATAGTGCCAAGAACGCCGACTGCGTTTCCACGCTGAATAGCTATACTTAGCATTTGAGCGAGGAAGTAACTAGCCCTCTTATCACCAGCAGCGACGACCAGTCGTGGATACAGTTCCTTTAGAAATTTCACTGCACGCGGACCCCACGGACCGATAGTATCTACAGCAAATGGCACAAACATGTAGTCATTTCTCAAAGAGTCATATTTGCGCCATTCACTAAATTCGGCTGCCTCTGATGCCGCCCCGGCTCTCAAAGAGGTACCCTTGAGATGAGAGGCCGCCAAAGTGTCAACGCAAGTAGCATCCCACACTACGCACCCTTCCAGGGATCAGTCATAGTCAACATTTAAATTCAATTTCAAAACTGTGTATATACTGCTTTTACTGTTTAGGCTATCATTATTGGATCTTATATATGAAATGAAAATAAGCTTTACTAAATTAATCATTACTTATATGTATTATTTTAAAATAAAAAGTGGCTTTTAAATTGTTTGAAACGTAGCGAGTGAAGGTTGATTAGTTTTTTTTTTTAATTAAAAGTAGGAATACAACGACGGCCTGATTCTTATTTTTAATGCACCGCTCATTGTGCCCTTATATGCTACTTTGTAGTGTCATCACAGATTTTCATCGTATATATAGACTTGCTGCGGGTTTCTAAAATGTCTTATGCAATATTATTCCATTTAGTGGTAGCTATTCTTTTACAAAATATAGATCTTAAATTATTATAAGGTTAAGTGTTAGCATAAATTACTTTTTTTAGAGCAAGCAAGCTTTACGGGAGCGGGACAGAGTTCACTATAATGTAATTTCTGTTTTTTTTTCTTTATAGGATAAGGGTGACAAACGAGCATAGAGTCCACCAGTGATGGTAAGTGGACGCTGTGGCTCCATAGACATCTACATTTAACCTCGATTGAGAATTAAAATGCAGATACCTCGTCACCCCTGAGAAGTAAGATGAAATGCCTCGATTCCAGTAAAACGGGTCTCCAGTTCTCTACACTCACCACACGAAACACATCAGCATTAAGCTGCTATTTTTGACGCTGGTATTCTGTGAGAGCGTGGTCCTTCTCCGGTCGAGCCGACCCATTCATGCTACAACCATAATAGCTGCAGTGTGGCTCTACTACGTAAAAATGTTGTCCTGTTTTTTTTTTTTTTAATTATTCAAAGTATCCGAATAAGTAATAGTTACAATGAATATTACATTTATTCCTTATTTGTTACAAACGTTACACCTACACTAGGATTATCTTCTATATCATAGGGCCAGTTTACAAACATGATTTGCACAAGGACGAACATCCAGACACGGAACAATTATTGGTAGGTCATACAATACTTGTTCCGTGCGGGATTCGAACCCACCCACCCATTCGAGCCGACAGAATTTTACTGATTCGAAGATTTTAATATGCGTTCACTGGATACGGGTGATTGCATATACATTTGTTGGTATTGTGTTCTGAAGCTGTTGTCTTTAAGACTTAAAGCATACAGTTAGAAAACAGTATAGACAATTTCGGACTCCGATATAGTCGGTGTCGTCGAAATCTACAACAAATAGGGGAAAAGCTAGAGATCCATTTAATAACATAAGGATACATCCATATTGACTCCCCTTAAATTTAACTGCGCCTGCGCATGATTTTATCAATAAGCTTACACGTCGTAAACTTAGTCGTAACTTGACATATTAAGTTACTGTAGCATCTGTGTGAAAGTTGTTACATCGTCAGTCGCATTGCGATTACTGAATAGGTTTTTATTGCTGGTTCAGCGATATGGCGGGTCTTTGAACTTTATTTTGTCGGGGTTTTGTGTTAGCACAATATAAACAAAAGTCATTTACTTATTGCCCAAGATATACACTCGTGTATATAATAGTGTTATGTCATTCCATTATTCTATAGATTCTAAGATACTTCCAGCTTATAAGTTATTGCAAGGTTTTCACTTACAATACTTCAACACCTCCAATAGATGGCGTTAAAACTAAAAGCTCAAATTTCATCATAATTTGCATGTGAATGTTTTACAAGATCCTTCAAGTTTGGAAACTAGTCAAGCAACCATCGTAACCATTTCAAACAAAAAATATCCAGATTATTTTTATAGAATTTAAAAATATAGGGTGATAAACGAGCATAGATCACCTGGAGTAAAGAGATAATACTGTTACCCATAGATATTTACATTTATCCTCGATAAGGAATCAAAATGCAGATGCGTTGTCACCCTTCAAAGTATTTTAGAAAAAATATGGCCTAGATTACATCCGGCATTGCTCTCTATCTGTTTTGAAGTTTCATCACAATCAGTTCCATAATTCCAAACATGAGCCCGGACAGACAGATAAAAGAAATAAAAGTGATAGACAAAAAAAGTGATTATTTATGCAGTGATGCAAATAACCCACTCACTAACTAAGCTTATTAACACTTCGGAATTGCAGACGCCTACCTTCCATTTTGTAAATATAACTATATGATATTGTTTTTGATTATTATATTAAAGCTAAATAACGCCACATTAAGTGATATGTAATATCCAGACAAAGCTGCGGCGGTGCACCATTCTATTATAAAACTAGCTGTTCCCCACGACTTCGCCCGTGTGTAGATTAACATTTAATAAAAAAAATTTGCGTGAAACCCTAATTATTTTTCTAAAATAAAAGTAGCCTAAGTTACTCCTTATAATATCAGCTATCTGCTAGTAAAAGTCCCGTTAAAATCGGTCGAGCCATTTCGGAGATTAGCCAGAACCCGTAACAAATAGACAGACGAAAATTTTAAAAAGTGTGCTAGTTATAAGTACCGCACATACTTTCGTTAGCATTTAGTAAAAAGCTTTTATTTTGACATTACAAACAGGCTTCAATTTTATTTATTTGTATAGACGTAATCATCATCATCATCATTACAGCCTTTCACAAGTCCACTGCTGAACATAGGCCTCCTCCAAGGAACGCTACAAAGCACGTTTCTGAGCCACCTGCATCCATCGACTTCCTGTTTGTCCTACCAGGTCGTCACTCCATCTAGTGGGGGGACGCCATGCAATTGGCCCGCCGGTAAGAGGCTGCCACTCGAGAACCTTTCTTCCCCATCGGTTGTAGGTTCTTCGAGCTATAGGGCCGGCCCATTGTCAATTCAGCTCACTAACCTATGTATGGTCTATCTGTGTCAATCACTCTGGTTCTACCATATATACCTTTATTTGCGCATTCTGGCAAGAGCCCTAACTGGATACCGTTGTCTTAAAAAGTACATGTCCATCCTGGGACTAAGCAACTCAATGTATCAGTTCTGATCCATAACGGAAGAAATACCTCTGCACATTCTAACTGATTGCGGCCCCTTAATGCGCAAACGTAACACTCATCTGGGAAACTATGTACTCCGCGCAGAAGAAGTGTAATTGCTCATGGCTAAGCAACTCCAATTCATTGAAGACATTAGCAGTGAACTATAGCCATAGCAGCGATCACAATAGATCTTTTAGGTCGCAGTGATACTGGTCTCCTTCCCTAGACCTGCATAGCTGCTCGCACATAATAAAAAAAATACATTTAAGTTTAAACATAGACATTTAAATTTTATTTATTTGTATAGATTTAGTCAAGCAGCTGTGGTAGCTCAGATTGTTAACGCTCGATGTAAATGTAACAGAACGCAAGTAACCCGGGTTCAATCCCCGGCGGCACCAATAAAATTGTTATTTGCAATTTTAAGTGCTGATTTACCTGGTCCTCGGCGTTGAAGGAGAACATCGTGAGGAAACCTACACGTCTGATGAATAAGGAAAAAAATATTTCGAAGA